GGAGGGGTGATGCTTACTGGCTTGCTCCCCTGGCTTGGTCAGCCTGCTTCTTTTAGAACCCAGGACTATCAGCCCAGAGATGGCATCACCTACCAAGGGCTGTTTCAATGTAACTAACTTTTTACTCTTCCTTTCTTTTCAATGACTGCTCTCAGTAAACAACCATCTGTGTCTTATGGTAAATTATTAAATAAAAGGATGTGTAAATTATTGCTGTCTAGGGAAATAATTTAAGATGTGTATATGCAAGTTATAAGGGTCTGAAAATTGATTTAAGGTATGTAAAATAAGACTTAAAATGATATATGATGCTAAGACTGCAAAAGTTCAGAGTTTTAACATCAACACAGTTCTGATAAGCTATTAATCTAGCCTTTGTAATGACTATTATCATAGTCACAGGCTCAAAATTTTACATTTCTTTTCATTGCCTTCTAAGTATAGACTTAAAGGTACTTCTCACTGTGCTGAAAACAACTCTGTCTGATATCTCCAGCTCTCTGGACAGAGGAAAGAGTGTTCATACCACTCAAGGTGCGACCCAGGCAGTTCCACAGTGGGTGAGGGACAGAAGGTTTATTGGGGAAGGTAAGGGTATAAGGAAAGGGAACAGAGAGAAAGGGATAGACAAAGAGCTGCCTCCTCAGAGAAAAGAGGAGAGAGAAGTGGGCAGAGTTTTTCTCTTCAAGAGACCTCTGTACCTGCTAAAGAGCACCATTCACAGAAGCACTGTGCCAGGTTCCCAAGGGGCAGGGCCAGGTCTGCCTGGATTATTACAATGATATTAACCCAGAATCATTTTTGGGTCCCCAAGCTTTTTTTATGCCCAAAGGCATGAGTCTGCTCCAGCTGTGTACAGACACTTGTTAACTCTACAAGGATTCCAGTATGGATTACAAATAACAGTAATGTTAATATACCTGAAACCTTTATCTCTTTTTTTATTTGTAAATTAAAGAAAATCACGTAATCTTCAGGGAGTCACGACTTGACTGTCACAGGTCAAGTGAATTCCAGATAAGTACTGCTGTCATCAGTTTAAGCCTCCCCAAGTACTGCCTATTCCTGAGGGTGGGTCCTCTCTCTCCCACCCCTGGTCTTGGGACTTCTACCACCCCAACTACCAGGAACACAGGCACGGAAGTTTCAAATGTAAGATTTTCCCTAAGTTCCCAAACTTTACCTTCTGTACCTACTGTGTATCTGTCCCCAGTTTCCGGCCATCTGAAGACTGCAAACTGCTTCAAACATGCCAGCCTCAGGAGGTCCTTCAGAACCAGGGAGCCCTGGACTTACTGAAAGCTGATGCAAACTGATGCTTCTAATAGAATTTCCTACCAGTTTGAGTTCCCATTTTTGGACCAGTATTCCAGACTGCCCCAAAGCTTCCTGTACTTCACTAGCCCCAGGTGGCCCAGCAAATAATGGGCAGTGAAGCATATGTATCCTGCTCCTTCCTGGCCTTTAAATGGCATTTCCATCTTCCTGGGTTCTCACAATGACTTCATCGGGACCTCCAGCCTGCAAATAACTAATACAGAGACTTATTAATTATGAAAGTTTGGCCTTTAGCTTAGGCTTATCTCAACTAGCTCTTATAACTTAAATTAGCCTATTTATATTCCTCTACACTCTGCCACGTGCCATTCCCTCTCTTACATCTTGTACCTCCTGATTCCTCTCCGTGTTTGGCTAGTGACTCTACCTTCTTCCCAGAGTTCTCTCTGCCTGGAAGTCCCCCCTATATCTCCTGCCTAGCTATAGACAGTTCAGCTTTTTATATACCAATCCCAGCAATACATCTTCACACAGTGAATAAATATCCCATAATAGCTTCCCTCTACCAAAATGAGTTGCTTCCCTTTTCTCTGGCAAAGCTATGGTGCCTATTAACATAACTGGACCCACGCTGGCTTCCAGACTCCCAGTATCACAAGTACCTGCTTTGAAAAAAAGCAAAAGGGCTACTCAAGATGTGGGGCTGGGATCTCATTGAATGGCTTACTTCATGGTTATCCAATTTTACCTGGATAAAGCAGATATTTATTTTCTCTGTCTATCTTAATGCTAGTTTGTAGATATCAGTGTCAAACACTATAAATACCAGGGACCTTAAGATTATATTCCCCAGATACAATGTAGTCTCCTAGAGCAGTGGTTCTCAACCTAATGGTCACAATCCCTTTGGGGGTGGAATGATCCTTTCACAGGGACTGCCTAAGACCACTGGAAAACACAGATATTTACATTACAGTTCATAACAGCAGCAAATTACAGTTATGAAATAGCAACAAAAATAATTGTATGGTTGGGGGTCACCACAACATGAGGAACTGTATTAAAGGGCTGAAGCATTACAAAGGTTGAGAACCATTGTCCTAGAGCTAGTGGGGAATGTAATGGGCAACTAACCTATAATTATGCCAGCTTATAAAAAATCAAGTGTTAAACATCAGCCCTACAGGGTCAGTATTCAACGATTGGATTCATATGATCTAAAGCCAGTGGGGAATGTGATGGCTACAGAAACTCTATTCTGTACCAGGTACCCTCTTTAGTAGCCACTGGCCTCTGCCTGAAATTCCTGAAAATGAGCTTTTTACCAATCCACACCCTTCCCAAAATGGTATAACTGCTGTGAGCTATTTCACCACTAGCTCTGGCTTCTGAAAAAGCTGCTCAACAATGTATACAGGGGAGGAAGCTTCTCATCTAGCTAAGTGGAGTGAAGCCATTTCCCACAGAGCTACAAATTCTACAGAAAAGGATTCATACCTTTTTTTGGGTGTGGGGCGGGGGGGGGGGGTTCAAGACAGGGTTTCTCTGTAGGTTTAGAGACTGTCCTGGAACTCTCTTTGAAGACTGGCTGGCCTCAAAGATCCGCCTGCCTCTGACTCCCGAGTGCTGGGGTGCTGGATTTGGTACACACCTTTAAAAAACCTTTCCTTAGCCCCTTCTGGGCAGCACACATTTGATTTGATTTTAAGGTTGTCTGTCACCATACTACCAGTTTTTAATAAATTCAGATAATTATAACTTGAATAGAGTCTGTGTGTCCCCCACCCTAGTGGTTTGAACTCCATAACACACACCACAAGCAAAGCACTACAGAGCTTATATATCCCCAAAATGAAATCAAATCCAAAATCGAAAACATTCACCAAATAGGTACTTTGTCAAGTGTCCACATGATACATCAAACAGAAAATCCTACAGCTTAGCTCATGTGATAGTCACAATCAAAATGCAGGCACAAAAGTTTATACAACAACCAAGAGACACTCTCCAGCCTCCTAACTTCAAGATAAAAAGGTATTATATAAAATTACCATTACTGCTAGGCTACATGTAGACAATGAATATAAAAGATAAGTGAATTTTGTGTTTAGAATTTGGGTTCATCTAGGGAGAAACAGGAAATCGATTTCTCATCTGGAGAGATGCTAAGAAGGTAAAGGGTGGCAGTGGCTTGCTCCTTCTTCTCTCTGACCTCTCAGCATTTTCCTCTATATCTGACTTCGGGTTTTTATTACTTACACCAATTAAGAACTCCATTTACATTTGTTTTCATTTGTACATTTGGACTCCTAAAGGAAATTCTCTCCACTCATCTCCTATGCAAACAGCTTCCATATTACTATATAATTCTTCATACTGAAATATGCTAATGCCTCTAATTGAAAGCTTGACAGCAGACACACTGTGTGTCCCCTGCTCTCCTAACATATTACCCAAAGAACAGACACCATAAACATCTTCAAAATCAAATCTGAAACTGGAGTTCGCTGAAGTAGACTGCCTTGGTGCACAGGAACACTCAGGTGTTGTGCTCAGAAGTAGGGCCAAGGTTCTCATGGTGGTAGCAACATGACCTGAGCACAATCAATTTATTTGCTCCTTTTAAGAGCAATGAAAAGCTTAGTCAGTTAAAAATGGAGAAAAGCTCAAAAAAGAAGAACAAGTATTTATAAGCACAATCACTTCATATTAAGAAACTGAGTTTTATTTAACAGCATTCTATGAGGCACTAATGAGAATAAAAGAAATTAAAACTCAATCTCACATTCGATTTTTAAAAACTTCAAGACAGTAAAAGCACAGAATTTATAACCAATATCAGAAATATGAAATGACACATTTTCAATATACAGAATATATCCCAGGAGCTTCCTATCACAAGGAGATAGTCTAAACAGCTGCAATCTTTCCAATCTGAAGACTCCAACTTATACTGTTCTGCTGTTTTCCCCAATGCCAACCTAGAATTCTATGAGTAAGACTAACAATACAGAAAGATTTTCTTGGACAAGGGAGGTTCTGAGAAAGTATGATGCTGGCCCTGAAAAACAAGTGAACTGACCTAGTGTTCAAGAAATATAATGCTACCAATGCATGAGGGCCACATAAACAAGGAAGCAATTACATTTAGGTTATAATTTTATGACTACACAGAAAATCACAGTTCTTCAGACAATAAATTCATATTATACTATTAAGCATTTTAAAGCAATCTGTACCTTTTGGTGAAGAGGCCAAAATTATAATTAGGATTTTTAGAAATAAAAAAATGAAACGCATTTGAAGTCCATAAAATGTATCAATGACCCAACTAATAACATACTCCCAAATTAGTTCTGTATAGGCTATCTGGGATAAATAAATCAAACAAACTTGAAAAACTAGAACATACAAAGAAACATTTTATTTATTTATTCTTTTTTTGGTTTTTCGAGACAGGGTTTCTCTGTGTAGCCTTGGAGCCTATCCTGGCACTCGCTCTGAAGACCAAGCTGGCCTCGAACTCACAGAGATCCACCTGCCTCAGCCTCCCGAGTGCTGGGATTAAAGGCGTGCACCACCAACGCCCGGCACAAAGAAACATTTTAATAGCTGTAGACATTAGAGAAGGAAACAGTGTTTTGGGCATGTAGTCTTTCCTTACAAAAGTCTATAATGTAAAAGACACTACATAAGCAAAAATAAGGAACAGGAGGGAAAAATGATTGATACATCTGAAGCGTTTAATCTAAAGCCTCCCACAAAGGGGTAATACAATTCTTCAGTTTATTGCACACACATTACTTAAAAATTCAGCCATAATATTGAAGCTGTAAGACTTTTTTACACTATTGGCACTATGCAGTAAAGCACAAAGAACTTTTAAAATAAGACAAGGTAATATTTAATTGGACAGTACACATAACAGCTTTTTTCTGTCTCCAAATAGCCAATGATTATATTCATAGGCTGGTTTCTAAACAAATGTAAATTAAAAAATGTCAAAAGCCATGGTTTGCTCAAGAATACTATTGTTTACATACCATATAGGTTGTCTTACAGCAGACACTAGCTTGTCAAGCTTCAGGTGGTGAATGCTAAGTTGCTGCATTTGCAATTGTCCAGCTGGGCGTTGGTTACCCTGGAGACTCTGGGGGCATGAGCCATTGAGAGATTGTCCTACTGCCACCAGCTCTCTTCTCAAATGCTGGAGACACTAAGACAGTGCCTTCGAGTCCTTAAGAGGCAAGGCCTAGCAAAAAGCCTCCCACAAAGCCACTGGATATCACGATGTTCTGCTTGATAAATTCTGTTGCCTAAAAACAAAGTGTCAATAAAAATACTCTTAATTATGCTACAAAGTAGATGAACCTTGAAATATTACATTGATTGAAATAAGACATGCAACAAAAGAACAAATGCACTCTAATTTCGAGTCCCAAAGGAGAATACAGGTCTAAGGGAAGGGGAAACTTGGGGAAATAGTATTTAATAAAATCACTTTTAAATGTTACAAATGGATAGAGGTAATGATTGTACAGAAGCATATATACGCGCCTCTGAATTGTATTCTTAAGCATGGTAAACCTTATGATATATTTAACAACAATAAAAAAGCACAAATTTAAAAAAAATACTTCTTAATTACTGAATATAAGATAAATAACACTATTTTCTTTTGTTGTTTCTCTTTCTTGAAACAGGGTTTTATTCTGTAGCCCAGGAGAGCAGGCTGGTCTATAATTCATGGCTAACCTCCTGACTCAGTCTACCAAATGCTGGGATTATAGACATAAGTCACCATGCCTAGCTAAAATGTCATTACAACAATGCAATCCTCAGTCATATTTTCTACTGAAATCTATTACAAAAAAACAGAAAGCAAACTTGCTTATTGTCTTACTTCTTCAATCACATTGTTGATTTCGGGTGCTGCTTTATTTGCTCGTTTCTTAATTTGTCTTTTTGCTTTGTTTACATCTTTTTCAACTCTCTTCCAGTCGATCTGAACATAGCCACTGTGACTCGCAACCTGTAAACATGCAATAAAAATGACTATCATCCCAGAAGTAGAAGGACATCTAGATTTCCAGGAATTCACTGAGCTTCTAAGGAACTGTTATTGACTCACCAATTCACTCATTCAAGAGGTACTGAACAAAGAAGACCTAAGTCTTCACTCTTCTTAGGAGTGTCCCTTAGATGCAATGAACACTGGGTTAAGAAAAGTATAGTACAGGCTGAGAAAGATTCAAAAAAGCTGTACTATATATTATACTATAACTATTATAACTGCTTTGGACCTACCTTTTAGAATAGAATAGCTAAGAAGACAGATTATCCAAAGCATGTGACTGAAAAAGTACCTTTTAATTAAACAGATGTGAAATTGTAGGCAATCAGTTGACAGGTCATTAAAGAAATCTAAAGTAGCCTGATAAAGGCTCTTCCCTAGCTCTGAATCTACTTAATTTAAGAAGATAATGTGGAGAAAAGGGAACTTCCATTAAGTCTTGGTGGAACTACAAGTTGATGTAGCCCTTCTGGAAATCAGTGTCGAAAATTCTCAAAAAAGCTAAAAATAACTCTACCAAATGACCCAGCTACACCATTCCTTGACTGATGCCCAAAGTACTTCACATCCTACTCCACAGATACTTGTTCAGCCATCCATGTTCACTGTTCCTCTGTTCACAAAAGCTAAGAAATGGAAATGTCCTCAAAGTCCCACCACTGACAAATGGATAACGGCAATGTGGTGCATATAGACTATGGAATACTATTCAGCTGTAAAGAAAAATGAAATAGGGTTAGAGAGATGGCTCAGTGGATAAGAGCATTGACTGCTCTTCCAGAGGATCTGAGTTCAATTCTCAGCACGCACAACTGTCTGTACCTCCTGTTCCAGGAGATCCAAAACTCTCATACCTGGAGGCAAAACAGCAAAATGAATAAAATAAAAATGAATTAAACTCCTGCACTCAAGAGATCCTTTAAAAGAAAATGAAATAATTTGCAGGTAAATGGATGGAACTAGAAAATATTTTATTGAATGAGGTAACCCAGACCCAGAAAGACAAACACTGCATGTTCTCTCTCATCTGTGGTTCCTAGTTCCAAATCTTCAGAGGTGAGTATACAACCTGGAGTTACCACAGAAATCAGACAGGAAAAGGAGGACTATGGCCATGGTGTGTGCTAGAAATGGGAATAGTAGGATACAAATGAATACGAAAGGGGTTATATGGGAGATAAGGCTTAACTGGCAATGGAGGGGTGTTATGGAATAATCTTTTGTTCACTGTGAAGATGTGTCTCTGCCAAGGCACCTTCTGATTGGTTTAATAAAAGACCTGACTGGCCAATAGCTGTGCAGGAAGAGATCAGGCAGGAGATCCAAACTAAGAGAACGTAGGAAGAAGGGTGGAGTCACAGGAGTCTGAGAAGTCAGAGGAGATGCCATGAGATACAGAGCGAGCAGTATGGGAAATATGTACATAAGGTAAATAAGCCTTGGGGCAGCACATAGATTAATAGAAATGAATTAATTTAAGTTATAAGACCTCACTAAAAACAAGTTTAAGCTATCAACAGAGCATTTATAATTAAGTCTCTATGTGGTTATTTGGAAGCCAGCTGCCGGGACACAGAAAAAGTCTACCCACAGGGAGTGAGGTCAATATAAAACAAGGGGCATGAGGAGAGGGAAAAATAGCACCAAAAATATTTGGAAAAGCCATAAGGAATCATATTATTTTTTATTAACCTAAAATTGTATTTAATACACTTTAGTGTTTATATATATAGTGTATCTATATATACATACGTATATGTACACACACACACACACACACACACACACACACACAAAGTTAAGCTACTTGGGCTAAGCCATTGGCCATTAAACAAAAAATTACGGTACTAGGCATGAAAAACACCATCTCAAGTTGGTGTTGGTTAGGGGAGTCCAAGAGACTCCCAAAATAATATACACTATTGCTATTGCCTTTGGTTGTCTCCCAGAGATTAAAAGTAAGAATGTATTGCTGAACACACCATGCACTTTAGACAGAAAACTTGTAGGATCCAAGCTAGATCTAATCTTAAGCCTCATCCCTGAGGACTCTAACTCTCACAGTACCAGGTACTATACCAAAATGCCAAGAGAGAAAAGCAATCAATAGTCCTACCTATCCATTATGCCTATGAACCACAACAATAATCAGCATGAGAAAACATTCCTAAAGGCATAATAGTTGGTAGTAACCAACAACTGTCTACTTAAACATAAGGCTTCTCCAACAGGAGGGAAAGAAACTACAGCTGGTACTTACTGGAAACATAGCCAACCACCCAGACCTAGTGAGATCATGGACCTTAGACTACTATTGTTACTTTCCTTAACCAGCATAATTTTTAACTGCATTCTAAATACTTATCTTGATAAGCAGGTAAGTGCAGCTTTTAACCCTAATCAAAGCAGCTTTGCTTTGCAGCAGATGGATATGATTACAAACCACCACCCAGACCTGACAGATATATCGATAACACAATTCCTGTACCTAAGGCTCAGGGAACATCGCATAATTAAAGGGAAGAGTCTAAGAGCCAGGGGACCAAGAAGTTTGCTGTGAGATCTTGTCTCCTAGAAATAGCAGGGAAGCTATGCCCATGAAATGTTATTAATATGGCTGCTTACAGAAAACCTGAACAATGACAATACCAACAGACATGCCAGCATGGAAGGGGGAAGTCTCATGGAACACCACTCCTAAACAAAGAACTCAAGGCACTAATGACTGCTGAAATGGGGAGAATTAGTTAACCCTAGGGAAGAGCCTCTAATTGGTTATCTGGTTCCAAGCTGTCATCCCTGAAACTATATACATACAAGCAACACTAAATACTCAGCAGGTTGTATTTATGTATGTATGCATTTATACACATATGTGATAATAACAAAGAAAAGGAGGCCATGAATTTTAAGAGAGGTGTATGTATGTATGTAAGAGAGAGTTGGAGGTAGGAAAGGGAAGGAGAGTAATGATTGTAGGGAGCTGCAGAAAACCGCACCCAAAAGATGGCGCCGGTTTCTGCCCTCCGCCAGCCCGACGGCGAGCGCTCTCTGTAGTAAACAACTCCAAATATGGTAAAGGTCATGTATCCTCTTAATTCTGCTTGGAGACAACCTATCCTGGCGCGCCACGTAGGGTTAGGTGATTGGTAGATGTAGACTATATCAAGCCCCGTCTCCCTCGGCC